GGGTCGACGGAGCTCTCCCGTTTCGCCGGAGAGCGCAAAGGAAGCCCGGACGGCGTGCGTCGGAAACGTGCCGCGAAGATCTCACGGGAGGGCCGCTTGTGTGTAAAACTCGGACCTCGGACCTCGGACCGCGGACCGCGTCCTCGGGCGAAGGTCTCGTGCCTCTTCGCGCGCGTGTTATTGGATTTGTTTGGAACTTTTCAAATCCGAGCCAGCGACTGCCGAGAAGAGACCGAGAAGTCCGAGCCAAGTTCTTCGCGGGAGAGAACTCCCCGGTTATCGTCGACAACCCATTAAGGTCGATTGACGCCCGTCCGATCCGTATCCGGTCCGATCGATTCGGCAAAATTGGTGCCACGTTTTGTCCCGGAAACCTTATCACCGGTGCCATCCTTTGCCGCAAGAGCGATCGTCTTTTTTTTTTTTCCGCGCGAATACGGAACCGATACCGATCGGACGTGGGTAAATCTGTCTTTAACCGGTCGTTGTTTTCGAGGGATCCGAAAGGTATTTACCCGTCGTCGCGATTTCGCCCCCCGGGCGAGCAGCCGTCGGGGCTCGGCGGATTTCTTCGGACCGGATACCCGGAAGTGGGTCATCGATCCGGATGTAGGTTATAGGTTACACGGGTATCGCGGTCCCATCGGTAAAACCGCGTACGGCGATTCGGTGCTCGACGGAGTCGAGCTCGGATCGTGATACGTTTTATTGCCCCCGGCTCCGTTGCAATTTCAACTTCGTCGAGCCTTTCGGATCTTTCGCCGAGTCGCAACGTGTCGGGATCCCTCCCGTCGTCCTCGTCGTCCTCGTCGTTCGACCCGGGAATCGATCGCCGATCGACGCCGCTTCGTCGGCGGAACCTCCGCGGTAGTCGGATACCCTCCGCGCGCCAGCGATTCATTAATTTCTCTTTTGATCTTTAATTATGAGGAGCCCTCGAGCGAAGGAATTTGCCAACGAGCGAAACGCTTAACGAGGGACGGACGTTTTGTCGGAGTCGCGCGGACAGGAAGTGCCGCGAGGCGTTTCTTGGGCCCTCGGTTTCCGTTTTCAGCGTCGAGCGGACGGCCGCGCCGAATTCCCTCGACACCGACGCAGTTTATTTCCCGATCGCCTCTCGGATTCGATCGTTGCTTCGTTAGTCCGCCTCGTTCGGCCCGGAGACAACGGTTCCCCCGTGCGTATCTCGTATTCATGGGAGGAAGAGGTTCCGAGCTCGGGAGGAATTTGCATTTATTGGGTTTGCCTCGTACTCGGTGAAAAGTTCTTATTTAAAAAAGACGGAGAATCGGATTTAGCTGGCGTGTCGGGGAACGATGACGATCCGACCCGCTGTTTTCGGGACTCGTAATAAATGACCGCCAACTCCGGCGGCCATAGAAATCTGACGAGGCCGGCCGAAAGCGACTTCCGGGGAATCGCGCACGAAACGTCGAGGTCCGAGAGGTCGTTCGCTCGGAAGATCGCGGACGTTACCGCTGGAAATCGAAGGGACGTTTTTTTTCGAACCGGAGACCGAAAGGGGGCCACGTCGCTCTTTGGGAAAAATGGCGACGATCTCGCGAATCGTCCGCGAACCGCGTCGGGCTAATGCAGCCCTTAAAAGTAATCACGGGCGATAAAGGCGATTCTCGGGGTTCCATCTCGGGGGGACGGCAGTCGCCGCAAAGGAAACCGTAGATTTTTCTTTCCGCGAAGTTTGCCCTTTATCGTCGCAGGCGCAGGGAGACGCCGACGTCGAGATCCAGCGGAGCCGAAAAGTCCCCTAGGACAATGGCTCTTTTACGAGGTCGGGACACTTAAGGAGCATCGTTGCGACTCGGCTCGTTTTCCTGGTTCAACTCTTGCAGTCACGGCTATCCCAGGGTATCCGCGGCTCGCGGAGAAAGACGGACCGACCGCGAGGAGGGCGGGGGTGCCTTTGCGTCGCCCTCGTCGACCCGACAAGAGGTCTCCCCGGATGGCCGCGGCCATCGAGGTTCGACTCGACTTCCCCTGGGTGCTCCCGACCTTTTTCCCGGCTTCTAGACGGGACGGACGCGTCGTCGAAGGCAACGTCGGAAACTTTTTCCCACCAAAGTCCCCGACGGTGCCACCCGGTCGGCGGTGCTCATTGAAATTTCATTCACTTTGCCGGCAGTCGATGCCGCCCTCTCGGAAGGGTCGCCATTGTCCATCGGTCATCCTCCGGATATTTTCGAGTGACTCCCGATATGGATTGCTTTCCGCCCGAAAGTAACGACCGCGATATTAAAGCGTTATGAAAGCGTCATATATATGAAAACTCTTCTCGAAACTCGGTACATGCTCCCGCGTTAACGTTTAAAATTATTCATTCCACCCAGGGCGACTTTTTATCCGCGCGAAAGGCTTGAGGACATTAGCGGATGAAATAGTCGAGATGGCGAACTCGTCGGCAAATAATGGAATACTCGAGTGTGCTCCGGTCGCGAGGGAAGTTGCCGGGGGGGAAGTGGAGATATAATTGAGCAATCCTGTGATTGAAGGTCCCGCAGCAATCCCCGCGGAGAGCACGACCTCTCCCTCCGTGTACCGTCCTTCCAGGAAAGTCCCCTGAATTCCCGAAGGATACATTCTTTATTTATCGGTCGCTTTTCCCTTGATTTCAGGACTTTCGTCCATGTCGAAAGGACTCGTCTTCTCGCGGAATGACGTCGCTTTCCCCGGAAAATCGGACACGGCGACGCGAACGTTCGAGTTGCGAGCAGTTTACTTTTCCGCCGTTCTCGTGAATCTCAATCAACGGAGTAGAGTTGCTCCAATGATACTTTTATTTTATCGTCGATATCATAAAAATGTTTCCGGGCAAACATTTAGCTGGCCCATTTTCAATTGATTACGTTTGTCGAAGCGAGTCAAATTTCTTATTACGACTGTCGATTCTCTTTTCGCACGCGGGAACTTTCCGTCGCCTCGAGTTTAATTCTCGACCGACAAAGTCGAGTCGCCTCTTCGGCGACCGATGTCCACCCTGTCGCATCGTCGCGCCTTCACGGTTTCGCGCCCGCGGAGACGGGTACGACGCCCGTCGGGTCGCGTCGGCACCGCGTCCGTTCGTAACCGACACCGGATTATAAATGTCGGCGGTGCCACTCGCAATAATTACGCCTTGAGTCTCGTAATTAATATTTCAGCGGCGACGTAACGCCCGGTGGCGAGAGTCTCGCGACGGCGGCAGCTGCGCGGCCCCGTTCGTTATTAGGAAAATTGCGCGAGCTAATTGACTAATTAGCGATTAGTAATGGAAGCCGTTCATCCCCGGATGCATTGATGGATTACAGTTTCCGGTCCGCTGCGGAGCCCCGTTCGCGATACCGGAAGCGACCGGACCTCATCGATCGAGGCCGCAATTGTCGAGCGCGTGCCGAGCGCATGCGACGTCTTTATACCCCAAGAAGTAAAATTTCATTAAACCGAAGAAATATTTTGTTAAAATGAAAGATACTTAAAAGTCATTTCCCACATTTTTTTTCTTCAACCGCTCGGTCGGAGCCTCGCGCCGTCGGGGATACTCGGCGCGAAATTACGTTTCAAATGGAAGGTGTTCAGCTCCATCCACGCCGAAGCACTCGACGTTGCGCTTTCGGGGCATTTTTTTTTGCCTGCATTTTCGATGGCTTCCAAAGGCCCTTCGTCCTGGGTTTACCCTTCTTTGCGATCCGTTTCTACCCCTCCGAGCATTAATTGCCAACGGAGACGGGGCGAGCGGACTCGAATGCTAATTATTCGACCATACGTCGGAAATGAAAGCGGGGCTTCGACGCGACTTAATTAGCGGTTATAATTAAGAATGGAATAAATAACGCAAAACAAACTCGAGCGTCGCGCGGCTCGCCCATTCCGCCCTTCCTTAAACCGCGAATTAACGCGTTACGGCTCGGTAATGGTTAAATAAGACGTTTCCCTGATACGGGAGCTATTTTCAATAAGTGCTCGGATTCGTAGAATAAATGACCCTCCCTGCATTTTTTTCAATTCATTTTATAGGAGAGCAGGAAAAAACATAAAAGCTCCGGAGCGATCTCCCCGTTAGAACGAGGTTCGATCGCCGAACGCGACCATTGATCGGAGGGTATCGAAGAGGGCACAAAGAGTTACCGGTCCCGGACTCGAATCCGAGGGGGTGGCGGGGAAGCGCGGAAATGCAACGAGGGTAAAACGGCGATATTAAAGCGATTCGATTGCCATCGATAAGGGCCGGGGATGAAAGCCGAGAGGGATGGAAGAAACGTACAAGAGGGCGTTTAAGTTTTTAATGAAATTCCGGAAAACGCAAGAGGTAGCGCCGATAATACGCGAAAGTCGTCGGGCAATTCCCCCGTAGAATGGCTTATTGAGAAATTCCGTTCCGACCTTGCGTTACCGCGAAAACCTGCTTACGTAGCGCCGTCTAATAAGAGAACCGATTTAACCCTTCCGATACGCGCACGCGGAAAAGTAATTCACGATCGTAGCAAGAAATTTTACACGAGTCAACTATCCTACCATTAAACGGGCCAATTTATTTGATTTCGAGTACCTCATTTTTCTCGGTGCGAGGAATCGAGCAAGTCCTTCGGGCGCCTCTCGGCGGCGCCGCGAGCGTCCCGGCGCGCGCGCGAGAAAGAGAGAGGAAGAGAGGGAGAGAGGGAGAGAGAGAGGGGCTCGGCCGTGTCTCCGGCCGCATCGTATTTTGATACTCCCGGCGTTCCCCGAATTTGCTTTCGAGTCCCTCTTGTTGCGAGCCCGGCGTTGGTGTAACGTTCAGTTAGGCCAAGTAAATAGTGGCCTGCCAGCTAGATGGATTCTACCGAACAATGCCGCTTTGTCGGCCCGTCGGCCGCTCGTTTCGAGCGGGCAAACAAGTGGTGCGCTTAGTTATGCAATAACGATATTCTCCATTTGCACTTTGCCATTTACTCCGTTTACTCCATTTGCTCCATTTACTCCTGACGGCTCCGGCCGCGAGTCTCGCCTTCTAAGAGCCACTTTCCTTGCAGATAGCCGAGGACCCGCCCGACGCCCGGCCAGGACCATGACGAGGAGGGGGTCGCGGAAATAACGAGCAGCTCCGCTCGCGAGGAGGTACGACCTCGACCCGGCTTGGTCCGAACGTCCCTTCGCCCGATCTCGCGTCGACTCGAAGGGGGTTTCGCCTGACCTTAAAGGTCCTATATAAGATGGATGAGTGCGCGGCGCCCGGCAGGTGTGCGGGAGGGGACTCGCATCGATAAGGCTTATCGGAAGATACGCGGTCTCCAAGGGAACGACTCGATTAGGTTCCAGTTGAGTTCAGGTGTCGTTCCGTGAGGTCCGAGTTTTCCGGTTCCGACGTTCCAGCCTAGGTAAGAATCGGGGCGCGTCCACGCGTCGTCGGGTTCGACTCCGCCTTTGACGGCATCGGGGGGAAAGAATGGCCGTATCCCGCGAAATCGTCTCGGAGAGAAACGGAGGAAGGGGAGCTTTTGACTCGTCCGAGGGGCGCCGGAGGGTGACGCGCGGGATCGTCGGGCAAACTCTCGAGCGCTAATCGCCGCGTCGTCTCGAGTTTTTAATTTGACGCTTTAGAGAGCAAAGCGGCTAACTGCGAGGGGCGAGGGCCGGCGACCTCCCCTGGAGAGGGTGGAGGGCTCCGTCCTCGCGGCGAGCTTTCGGCCCACCGGAAGGCTCGGGGTTAAGGGTCGCGGCGTCTCGTTGGGGCAATCGTTCCCGCAGAGAAAGAAAAAATCAATCGGGAACGTTGCCCTTTGCCGGAAGCGCAAATTTCCTTTTTTCCGGCTGGGAGGACAGGGAAGGCCCGTCTCGGGATCCGCGCCTTCGGGAGTTTCCCGGCGAGACGGGACCGGGAGCGAGCCCTGAGCCACGCACATGCTACAAGTTTCTAATTAAACTCCAACTTTTAATTGACTCGATCCAAAGGTGGCTGCTTCTCCGGGGAGGGGCCCGATCCTTTGTGTCGCTCGTTCCCGCCGCGCGACTCCGGATTTTCCGCCGAGAAAGCTACAAGGGAGCTTGCGCGTCCCGACGAGCCACCTCGTCCGCATCTAGCAACGCGTTTGACGCATCCGGGGGCGCGTCCCGACGAGGTCGAGTCCGGTTGTTCGCATCCCCTTAACGGGCTACGTTCGCTCGGTGGACCGATAGAGTCGACTTTGAAAAAATACTTTTATTCGGTTATGCCCCCTTTTACCTACGCTCGTTCGGACCGAGCCGAGGCCCTCCCTAACCCCCCGCTGATCCGACGAAGGCGAAGAGGTCGATAACGAGAACTCTGCTTCCCGTAGCCACGGAAGAAGCGACTCCGGGCCGCCGGCGCCAACCCGAGGGACGGAAGCTGCGGAGTGCCCGCGAGTGTCGGGGAGTCTCGGGTCTCGGGACTCGCCTCGGGTTCCGAACTGGTCCGGGATTCCGGGAGTGTCGGCAGTGGTTCGCGAGTCTCGGACGGCTCCTTCGTGGCTAAGTCGGCGTTTGGGGGTTGACGCCTTCAAACCCCCTGAGGCTCGGCAATCCTGTCTTCCGCAAGCGTGATCGAGGCTCGGCCAATCGAGTACCGGCAGTCGTTCTCCGGGAGGGCTCCCATGAAAATGCTCCAGTCGCTAAACGCTCTAGCGAGCAAGGTCTCGCCGAGCTCGCCGACCGACAGCAATGCCAACAAGGTGCACATGCGGAACAACAACAGCGTCTCGCTCCATCCTCACCCGTATACCAAGCAGCGGCAGCGCCAGCAGCAGCAGCAGCAGCAGCAGCAGCAGCAGCAGCAGCAACAGCCGCAGCAACAGCACCAGCAGCAGCAGCAGCAGCTGCTGCTGTCCTCCCCGCAGCCCGCCAATGGCGACCAGAAGGAGAACACGTGAGTCCCTGCCTTACTTAAACCGGACATTTCTTCGGACGTATTTTTGGTCGCAGGATGTGTACTCGCGATGCATATTTCTTTCAATCGATCAACGTTTTTTCTCGGCTCCGGCCTGAAAACCATTCTAACGTCTCTCCCGCTCGAGGAATCCACTCTTGGCTCTCCCCAATGTTTTCTAAACGAACTTTCGAGCGCGTTTATCGTCGCCCCGCGAGTTCCACTTATCTTATCTCGGGTAAACGCGAGATACGGAATTTTATCGGCCGAAGCTCGACTCCGTCGGTGCCTTCCGAGATTAAATTCTCGACGGTGCAGGTGACTCGGTTAAGGTGAAGCGAAACCTCAAACCTCCCTCAAATCTAGCAACTCGAATACACTTTTTTTTAATGGTATTGGACCGAACTCGAAACTAATTCGATACAGCTGTCGATATAAATGCGAACGTCGGGAAACTAGGTATTTATGGAAGGCTCTTTTTTCTTTTGATCGATGAAATTTTTCCACGTCGTTCGCTTCACCTTAAATTCAGTCCGCGTGCCGGGAGGTGCTCGTCTTCTCGTTAGACGAGGCCGCGAAGGATGAGAAAAATCCGGGGGATGCGGAAACGCAAAATCCCGGCGAGCACGCGACTTCGGCACTCCGACCGAGCGCAAGGGGAGCACGTACCACCTACCGTCGTCCAAATTGTACCTTGACGGCGCACGGGCACGACCGACGCCGGAGACGGCGACGACGTTCGACGCCTCCTCGAATCTCGACCCATCCCCGTCCGCGCGACGTCGTCGGATTCGCGAAAGATACGATCTCGGTTGCGCCCGCCGAGTCTCGCCGGATACCTTGAGAAATCAATTTTCACGGAACCAAAGAAATATTTATTTTGGTTCCATGACATTTTTTTTCTCAGTGCAAGGATTTCCAGCGATTCCGACTCCCTTCCATGTAATTTCGAGCGTTAAAATCCATGATTTACCGAGGGAATAACGTCGCCTTTTTCGCTCAGTGGCAGGAAAATCGATGGCTCCTCTGGCCTCGGTTCGCCCGAAATCGGGAGCGCGCCGTGCACGAGTCGGTCGTGCTCTCGACTTCCCCCAAGTGCAAGTTCAGGCCGAACTTGAACCAAACTTGAACCGAACTCTCCCGAGCCAGCGCGTGTCGCTTATCGCGAATCGAACCTCAAAGAGCCCGGAAGAGCTCCCTGGAGCGGCGGTCGGTCCGACGCGATTGATCAAAATCGAAATATATCTTTGATACCGGTGAAAGAAACATCTCTTTGGTTCGGTGTATCTTTGTTCTCGGGGTAGTTTTCATTTCTAGTATCTAGTATCTCTCTCTTCCTATTCCGCGTATGCCCGAGCAGGGCTCGGACAAACCGCCGAACGCGAACTTCGCGAGGCGGCCAAGTTTTGACTCCCCTGAAATTGCTCGCTCGTGCGGTCGGGACGGTCGGGACGGTCGAGACACCCTGGGAAAGACGGGAACCGAGCGACGCGTCGGACCGTCCCGGAAAGTCAACAAGAGGAAAGTGTCCGAACAAACAGCGAATCGGGCGGCCCGCGCCTTCGGTGCCGAAATCCCTCTCGAGGAAATCGACTCGACGACGTCCGGGGAGAGTTCGAAAATTCTCGGCAACTGGAAGTCGAAGAAGGTAGCTGGGAAACGTACCGAACGTTCCCGAGAATATCGTGAATTTATGAAAACGTTAATTATAGGGTTTTATTTACTTCGTATAACTTCCCGAGAGTTTCGTGCAGTCCGTCGCAAATATTAAAATTTTCAGAATTTCTCGGAAAAAAAAACGACGGAGAAATGACCGACGAGTTGCCTGGAATTTTTCATCGTTCCCGAGGTAACTTATCGCGTTTAGAACTCTATATACAGGCCGCGAAAAGATCAAGGCGTCGCCTCGAGTGGGTCGTCGGAAAAACGCCCGGTCGACGCTTTTCCTCGGCATCGCGAGCGAATTTCCCCCTTCTTCCTGGTCAATGTTTAATGCAAGTTTATTTGCGCCGCGCGCCGAAGTGGCCCTCCCATCGGTACTCTTTCCAATTATTTCGAGCGCGCAAACACGTGATACCGTTTCGCAAATATTTGCGCGAGACAATTTCATCGCACGGATTACCCGGGGAAACAAAAAAAGGAAAATAGAGAGGTCCGATCCGGTTCTATGGACGGTGGATCGATTCGAATAGACGGTAACGTTGACGTACGGTAATCGAAGCGTGTCCGCGATCTGACGAAAAATATTTGACGTGCGATTTAATTGAATAATCTCGATGGTTACATCGGTACGGCGGGTACGCCCGTTCGAACCGCCGACATGTATTTATTTTATCGGCAGATCGAGGGAAGGAAAGTACGTACACGCAGGAAAACGAGAGAAATTCTACTTGCTTTTGGACCACCGTGGTCCGGTACGCGCGCGAAGGGCCGAATTTTTCGATCGCCATGGATCGAAGGGAAGGGGTCCGTAATCGGTCGGCGGCGGCGCCGGTGTCACTCGCTCCGGCGTGATGGATCGAGCGGAAAGTTCTCCGCCTTGATGGGCGCGACTGCGCGCGGCAACTCCGAGTCTGCCGGATAATTATGAGCGATTGGCTCGTTCGGTTCCGACGCTTACCCTCTTACGGCGTTCGAGGGTGGGAAAGTAGCTGACGACGTCGCGGGACGGGGACGCCACTCGGAGGGGACGACCGCTCGAGGGTGCGCGCTGATGCAGCTTCAAAAACTAATCGGGTCGAGGTCTCCGCTGCTCTCGGCGATTGCGAGGGTTCGTGGATTTGCGGATTTGCGGACTCGCGAATTCGTCGATCGGCGACGGTATCGCAATTTCCGCGCGGGGACAAATAAATGGCCAAAAGTACGCAACGATTTGCCAAAACGCGCCGCCATTCCGCGAGTTACGTAAACGGTCGACGCGTGGAATCGAAACCTGTGAAAATATCCAGGGCGCGGAGACCCCGCATCCGAAAATGACATCGGGCGGAAAATTCATCCCCTGCGGACGGTGACCGATAAATAAGGAGGCATCACCGGGGGATCGCCGTTAAATCCGAGTTCCCCCCCTTCAGGGTTTTCGGGAAAACTCGGGATCTCCGAATCCCGGAAACCCGTTCGATGAGTAATAACGCGCATTTGGATCGGAACGGCTCCCCCGCCTTCGCCCCGCCGCGGCCGTGCGGTCTTCCCTGGAAAAGCATTCCGCCACCCCCGCATTCGGGGTCCCGCGCACATTAGCATGTTATTGGGGGGTTGTTTACCCCAAGTTAATCACCACCTCTGCCGGCTGACGTCGCAATCACTCCAGGACCGGACGAATTTACCCCAACTTTATAAGCCGTCCGTTTCTTCCCCGGTCCTCTCGAACTCGGAAGAAAAATTCTACGGCGACAAACTTCTTTTCTCGGAGCACCGACCATTCGATCTCGCGAAGGAGAGGTCGCGTGTCGCGGAGATTTAAAAATCGTCGAGCATTCCCCGGGAGGTTTGTTCGAGAAGAAGGGAGTTAATTAAACGAATAAATAATATGACAAAGCCCGAGCACCGAAGCGGAGAGGCCTAGTATCCCGTCTGACCCCTTCCCACCACCTTTGTCTCCCGGGCAATTGATCCCTCTCTTTCACCCTCCGGTTTCTTTTTTTTTCTTCTTTTCTCCCTTTCTCTTCCTCCCTCCCCGCCTACGTTTCCAGCAATCGTCGATTCCTAAAGGTGCAAATTACGCGCCGAGGGCCGCGTTTATCGACGGTTCGGGTCGCGGATCGCCCTTCGGGCCGGAACGACTAATAACGGGATGCGTCGCGGCCGGGCCGCTCGTTTGCATATCCGTCCGTGCACGGAAAAGGAACTCGGGGGGTGAAATTACGGATCGGCGTCGCGTCGTGACGCGGAGGCACGCAATTCGAGAAACCGCAAAAGTCGCCCGCTTCAAAGGCCGCGGCGGAAGGATCGGAGGGCGATAAAAAATCTCGAATCGCTCCCCTTACCCCTACTTTCGGGTCATGGATCGGGGGAGGCGTCGACGGGCGGTGAGCACGCGAAATCGCGAAAGCAGCCGCCGACTCTCCGACGCCGTCGCGGGGAAAAAAAGACATTTGCACTTTTGGCAAAGGACGCTCGCAGGGGGAACAAGAAATTTTACTTTGCGAGGCAAATGCCAATATATACAGAAAAGACCTGAAAAACAAATTCACTAAGCATACGTAACGTTTTATATAGCACACGTAATGTTTTTGTCGCTCTAAAATTGCGCTTTGGACCGCCGCGCGTATCGCGAATCCGAACGCGGGTGGGAAAGAGCGAACCATGGAGCGCGCGCGGCTCCGCGTAAATCATTAGCCTTATCGGGTTCATCCAGTTCGTATTTCCGCTTTATCCGCCGGGCCGAACGGCTCGTTCGTTAAAAACAAAACGGCCGAAAAATACCGGCGAAACAATGGCCGATTCGACGGCGGGACGCGGCGTCGAGGACGACCTTCCGTTTAATTATCTGCGCGCGGCGAATCTCCGCGCGGAATCGCCGCTTCGACCGGGAGAGGCTCGTTTTTCCTTCGGCCGGCGACGTTTCGAGAATACGCGAATTTTGTTTACGGATGGTCCGGTCCAATACCCTTAAAAAAGTGTCTTATTGGAATCGGCCAATTTGGGGCGGAGTTTCGGTTCACCGTAAAGATCGAGAGGCTGAAAAAATTCCGCGTCGCGACGCCCGCGCGAGAAAGGACGACGACGTATCGGAGGAACGATCGCGACTCGGAGGAGCGACCGACTGCCCCGCGCGATATTTCACGATAAGAACGTCGCGGGCCGGAAGAATGTAAAGAGCGCGGGATAAATGTCCGCTAAGGGAAATATAACGACGACGCTTTCCTTTCGCGCCCTCTCTCTCGCCCTCGGCGAAGGGAGCGACCCGTCGTTTATTCGTGTCGCTGCTTAAAGCTTAGCTTTAAAGGTACCCCGGAGAGACCTTTGGAAGAATTACATCCCGGGCAGGGACAAAGCCCGCA